TCTATGGTAATTCCTAATGAGAAACCTTTTGTGTTGCTGGATACATATGAGGTGTTGATACATTAGCAGTTCGCATACTTTCAGAAGGTATATGTTAGGATCCTCTATGTGCTCCCATATTTCTTGGTCGTGTAGCTGGATGCACATCACCTTGATATACTGATCATAAATTCTTCTGTATGTGCCACAATTTCTTTCATAGACTTCACATAGAAACTTCCACAGAGTTTTATATAAGGAACGCAACCTTATCAGACTTCGTCGATGGTATCTTGTTGCTTTAACATGATGAGACTTTCCTTTTACATTAGCATGAACCTGAGCGTCTAAGGCGCTAAAAGAATGACAGCACTCTTTTGGACAAACGACCGCAGCCTCCTTTCTCCAAACACAGCGCTTATGACAATGGACTGAAGGCAATCCATGTAATTTTATAACCACTTCAATGAATGATTCAAACATTTGTAAGTGTTCAGGGTATGGAATAGTTGAAACAGATCTGGATCTTTGATAATGTCTGCCTCGTTTCCGCTTCAGTCGAGCCATATGTGCTGAAGGTTTTCTTTTGCAGATAACCGCTGGGTTTTTCTCTACAGGAAGATCTACTGTGAAGGTTTCTGACCCAAACTGAAAAAAGGACATCAGAGACCTTGATTTTGATACTCCCATAAGCATATTCCATTTCAACCTCCTTTTTAAGGGGATCATGGGGCAGATGTTAAATGTAGGGAGGTCTCTATAAAGCACACTTGCTAGAGTAAACATTGGTAAAATTGAAATATTTCTCAGTTTGGGCAGGGTGAGAGTGATTTTGGAAAGATTTTGCAGATCTTCAAGAGTATCCACCCGTACAGAAAGCGCCTCCAAATGATGTGCCCGAGTAAGCAATTCCAGAATATCTTTATCTGCACGACAACTGAGACATGTGAGGCTGCATGAAGCTTCTGCATGAAGGGCTGCATTCAAGCATTTTTTTGTCAGTTCGAGATAATTCAACATTGTCCAATTCCGAAAGTCGAGCACAAGTTCAATCTTGAAACGGGAGATCTGATGCACTGTAGCTTCAATGTTAGCATCATAGTTATCACATGCATGGATTGATATTGATTCAGGGATGACAAACTCCATTAACGTTAAAACATCGCTCCAAGATGTATAATTAGGACGCCACTCGAAAGAACCAACTTGATCCTGAATTTCCTTTATCAACAATGGATCATTTTCTGCTTCCTTAATTAAGCTTATCCAAAGATCATATTGTTTTATATTATCTAGCTCACAGATACAAATATACACAATCTGTTGTGACCTCGTTTTGGTTAGTACTTTGTGTGTTTTAAGGTACCCAACCATAAACATTGGTATCAAACTTCCAAAACAGATCGGTGAGAAATATGTGTAAGCAAGATATCTTTCGAATTCTTCAGGATCTTCCATTTCAGAACAGGGTACAATCATGTCTCTATAACAGCAAGGTCTATTAGAAAACATGTGTTTTGTTGTTATGAACTCAAAGTCCTCATAAGAGCTGGCTTTTGCTTCGTGAAGTTTCTTAACCACAAACTTGTTTCTTGGAGCATCGTCAGCGTCCGCAACATTTTCCTGATATTGTTCATGCTGCTCTTTCCATTCTGCAGCTAATGTTAAAACATCTGTACCTCTTCCAGTCATCTCTTTACAAAATGCTTGTGCAGCAAGGAACTCCTGGACAGTTCTATGAAGCGGTTCGTATATCTCTTCTGTCCCAGTTGGTGAAGCAGTTACTTGCACAATGAAAAAAGGCGACATTGTTTCCCTGAAGGGTAACCCCAGAATTTCACACATGTCTTCCATCCGGTCTAATTGATGTTTTGTAAAACGATATTCTCTATGTGATGAATTTTCCCAAAACGCTTCTCCAATTTTGTTTAGGACCATTTTGATCTTCCTCTGGATTTCTCTCTCTGCAAGTCCCAGCGTAAGGAATTTTTTTCTCTTGGACATGCGGGTAACAATGTGATCAACAAGTATCTGGAAAAGACTAGTGACAGTTGTAGCCCCATTTATTCTCGTAGGATTTTCCAGCCAGAGCGTGAAAAGCATGACTAGGTAAAGTGGAACACTAAGGACTAGTTTTAAGTGATCTTCTTTCTTTATGTAATTTATGAAATCTATACACTGGCTTATATCACATGATTGTTTTTGGGAGTAAACATGAAAGAGCTTATGAACGTATAATTCTCTGTCTTCATCATATAATCCGACCATGTTATATTCCATACTAGTCAAATGGTGATTACCTAGCATCAGCTTAATCTCATTCACACATTCTCTACGTGAAGTAATTATAACCCTTGAATTTCTGAATTTGGACAACAATTCTTCAGTAACCCTCAATGCATCTTCATTGGCTTCATCAAAACCATCAACAAGCCACAGCAATGACGCTTCCTGTAAAACGGGGACAATGTCATCTTGATGGAACTGTCTGCAAGTTCCAGGAATCAACTGTTCACGTAAC